AGGAATGACCTATACTGTAAACACTATTAATTATCCAAAGTCATCTGCAAGGCAAACCAAGGAAGGCTAACAAACCACAAACTTGTTTGGTTTTTTTGGTTTTTGTTTTTTAAATCAGGGAGATGCCAAGCTGATGGCTTATCACTTGCAAGTAAGTGTGTACCTGCTCCTTTGTAAAGCAAAGTCAGTGTGTATTTCCCATTTGCTTCTCCTGTATGACTCACATACACATGCCTGGTTTGTATTTGGATGAAAGAATCAAAATCAAGTGCAGAGGCTTCTCCCACAGGTATGTAACTATTTAGCCAGAAGAGCAATACATCAGTAGGCTGTGCTTCCTACCCAGCCACTGCAAGAAGTAAGGCAACGAGGGATTTTAGCTACACTGGCAAAAAAGCCATCCCACTTTTGATTGTTCTAACTGCAAATTACTTTTTCAATCCTGCAGCCATAAAATTGGCAATGTATCCTCTGCACCTAGCAAGCATCACAGAACAAAGCAGCAGTATTGCCCTAATTTACATGCGCGACATCAAATAGCCCTCTGTTACTTTCTACAAAACAGCAGACTGAAAAATTGCAGAGTGGTTAAATGCAGCCTACATCCACTCGATGCAAGAAGCAGCCAAAAACTGTAGGTGTAAACACATCCATCTTACAGAAGTCAGGACTAAGGGAAAAATATATTTAAACTACAATGGTTAGCATCTCCAGTGTTACAAATTCCAGAGAACTTGAAAACCCAAACATGCAGACATCTTACTGAAACTAGTCCACAAGAGTAGATACATCAAAGTAGACAGTTCAAGACGACAGGGTCTTGCAGCCTTGAGAAAAGAGGGTTAAAATACTGCCCCAGCTTTGTGCCTTTGCTTTTAAAACAGCTGCTGTAAAATTTAGGGTTGCAGTCCCAAGGGGAACACGTATGTTACAAGAACACTTGCAAGAAAAAGAAAGAAAAGGTTGTATTATGCAATGTTTATCTTTTTATTAGGGTTTGCATGACATTCATTAGCAAGTGCAGAAGCAACATGGACATATTTGGAAACACTCCTCTGGAAACAGTTAAAATTTAGCTTAAAGTAATAAATGAAAGAGGCATGTGTTCATTTTAGAAAGCTGTTGCGCAATTTGATGGAACCGGACAACTAAACCTGACACGTCATAACTCTAAAGTGCAGTTTTCTCTGTGATATTTAGCAACACACTCTTAAACAGATAATTCTGCTAACACATGGTAAGGGAACAAAGATGGGTAGAAGAGCTATTCTTTCATAAAGCAATTATCATAACAGATTAAACAATTGAAAGAACAAAATTATATAGCATATTACCATGGTATCAGTAAACACAGCAGCGATAGATAAAACCACCATAACATTTTCATTCTGTACAAATATGGAGCACGTTTGACTCCCCCAGTATTTCTCTCTCACTTATCCAAACAGATTTTGCTTTTAAAGAATCTCAAACAATGCCCAAAAGCCAGGTTCCACCTACCTTGCCATCTGTGAAGTAACGACAATTCATTTTTAAAAATTTGACAACCACAGGCTCATCCTCTTCTGAAGTAGAGGACAGGACTCTTTCAACTGGTTTGAAGGCCTTTCTTGCCAAATCAGCATCCTTAAAAAAGGAAGAAGTTCAGTGCAGAGCAACAGGACCAGAATCATATACTTTTAGATTTTTGGGCAACTAAAAGGCCAGGTTCAAACAACTATTTTCCTTTTGCTTAAGGAAGAAAAGCGGTGGTCGTGTATGTATGTGCATATGTATGTACATTTCCCACAGTATCCTGTATGGAAGAAAAAAAACTCGTAGCGTTACAAAAAACCTCCACACAAATAACAGGCAACAAATTAAAAAATGCTAAGGCAAGTCAGCTCACCAAATTTCAATGAGGTACTCTTAATAAGAGAGTGCCAGTCCTGCCACCTCATTTACACTGAAGACGTCTGCACACAGTGCACTGGTGTGACTCCCCATGCAGGCGGCACAGAGGCGTAAGACTAAGGTTAAACACAGTTACTCACTCCAGGCTTCTCTCCACTTTCCTTTTCATTAGTTATGGATTTGAAATGTCTAACTGCTTTAACATCAGCAGGTGGACAGCTAAACTCCCTAAAACTACTATCTAAAATCATTGTGGCCAATCACCCTTCTAAGGAAAATGAAAGATCAGCTATGCCAAGGCCTTTCACAAAGATTAAATCCAGCAGTCTTGTCTATATAAGTCAAGTCTATAAATGGGTACCCCCGTAATACACTTAACTAGAAAGAACTGACTGCTCAGGCTAAACTAACAGCCCCTGTGCTCCTGGATCCCAATGCAGGATCAAGGCTCTGGACTGCACAGCAGCACAGAAATCTCCAGGGTGAAACACTAAGTAATTCTTCATATTTAACTTTCTATACTTTGAAAACTATACACCACACCATTTTCAATTGCTTTGCTAGACTCTGGGCCCAACTGAACTTGTACTGGTTTTCTACGCTCAGACAGAATTCCCTTAATTTGGAATATTTTAAAGAGATGGTAAATTCTGTAGTACAGCAAATTAAAATTAGTGTTACTCAATACACTACACACAAGGTCTGAACTGTAACCTCAAAAAACTGCTATTTACACAGCCTTGAATCTCAGCTTCAGAATCAGAAATTATTTTGTGAGTTTAAGACCAGTGAACCAATGTTTGACTTACAGGGAGTTTATCGTATTCAGCATCTGATGATGAAGGAGAAACAGGTGCACCAGGACTGAAAGAAGACAGTCTCGCAGCGCTTGTTTCTGGCACAAAGAGAATCTAATACAAACACATATGTCAAAACAGTGAGACACAAGCTTCAAAAAGTTATTCACTATAATTACACATTCTACTAGAAAGACAACCCAATACTGATCACTCGTGATCACAATGCACTCCTTAACAACTAACAACTACTTATTCTAGAGTCCTTCTTCATAGGTGGTGATGGCAGGGCACATGCAGATCTAATTAATTACAGGATCTAGCTCTACATTTTGTTTTGCACCACAGGCAAGAAAATAAAATATTTTCCACAGAATGAGAGCCTCCTTTTTTCCCCAAAGTTACAATCACAGGTTGCCTTGCAACTATAGCAACTACAAAACAAGTAACTGTAAAATGACTATTAACAGTCACTAACTTGTAACAGCAAACTCAGGTCCAAAAAGAAGGCCTCAAGTTAAAAAAAAAAGTTCACAGTTTAGTTTTAAACTAAAAATGTTCAGAAAAATAAAACCATTTTGCTTATCCCAGCTTTTGTCTGCTGGGTATTCTTAGGCAAGTCTTGCCATCTCTTTGTGTCTCAGTTTCCCCATCTGCAAACCAGGATGCTTCAATCTCTTCATGTCCATGAAGCAGAAGTAGAGTTCTGCTCTTCATGAACCAGGTGTTAGCCTTCACATTTGCATTTCCATTACCTGACTCTCCCAAAAACTGTCTGTCTCCATTTCTCATCTTACAGGAGACTGACTCATCCCCAACATAATGGCAAAGAGCCATTTCAATTACTGTATCTAACTCTCTAATTCTTTAATGTATTATATATAGCATTTATCTAGGCTTTCCAAGAATTTGACTCTCTTGCAAGAGCTACATTATCCTCTTGAGCTTCAGAGTCATCTTTAGGCTTTAGTGACAGCAAATAAATAACAAAAGTCAGATACGGCAATTACAAAGAGCCTCCCCCACCCTCCAGGTAATGACCAGTGAGTTGCCCTTTGAGGGATTTATATTACTGTCCATTATCCTTGTATCCAAGTACCTAAAAGATATGTGAAAGTAGTAAAAAGCTTTTAAATACATAGCAAATAATCAGGTTTCAGTTATAAAGGGAAAAAAAAAAAATATTTACCTGGCCTGGCACAATTGTCTGTGTGAAAAGCTTATTGAGCTCCACGAGCTTGTTTGGGGTGATGTTAAACTTTAATGCTATGCTGTTTATGGTGTCCTGATTTCCAGCCTGAAGAAAGAGTTGAAGCTTAAGATACCATAGTGAACACATTCAGCACACAGCTGAACTAAAACCATCTAACAGACTGTTTGCAGGGAACAGATTTGATGATCTCAACACACCCTCTGTTTAATAGCTTACGTGATAAGCCGGTATCAATAAAAAGAAAAAAAATGTTCTCTCATACTATACATAAGATAAAATAGAGAGGTGTTACAGATGTCCCTTTCCTTTTCTCATAAAACTTTAAAGCAGCACCACCTTATTTAGAACTGGTCTGGCAAGTGGAGAAGGACACACACTGGGAAGTTCATTACACCTTCAGCAGTCGCAGCACATCAGGCATTTGTGCCGTTCCCAGCTGGGACACTCGCCTTCCACAGTCGCTCTGTGTGATGGAGGGTGGGGTTCGGGGACCTGGCCGGCTCACACAGACTTTCTGGGCAGAGCTAGTCCTCTGAGCCACCGCCACAGCAGCACACTGCCACCCTGCTCCAGCTTAAAGAGGTCTCGCATCATCTCAGGACCAAGCACAGGCCAACCGCTTGATGATCTAAGCAAGTGTGGCATGGAAGTATTTTTCAGAATAACAAAACCGATTACTCTACTAAAGAGCCATGGCGCCAAAGTAAAAAATAGGACTGGCAACCGTGAGAAGAGGCAGAGGACCTGGGTTGAACAGTGGTTCAGGACGTGAGCCTAGCTCTTCCCACACAATGATATTTGGAGTAATTCCTATTGAGATAGGTACAAGCTGCAGCCAGTGTTCACTTAGCACTTTCAGTTTTGTGCCACTGGCTCCCTCTCAACCTCAACAACTCCACTTTCAAAACTCAGACACGAACAAAGCACACACCAATACTTACAGTATATTCTATGGTACCATGGGGTTTCTGAGAAACCATTTTTTTCTCTTTCTTTTCATTGGTTTTGTTCTGATTGTCATCTAAAGAGAAAAAAAATATTCAGGTAATTGACTTTCAAGATGTTTGCCTATCAACATGTTTTGAAAGGAGGATGTGCAATTTGCACAGGATGTGCAAACTGCAGCTGTGAACAGGAACAAGAGGGCACATCAAAAATATCTATTAGGCCTTAAAATTGCATTGCAAGGCAAGCAAAACTTCATCAAGTACAGAAGGTTTCATAATCATTCAGGAACTCTGCAAGAGTAATGTATACATGATACCATATCAATACAGAACCGCTCCCGTGTTTTTCTCTGATTCCTACACAATTCAGCTGTTGGATGCAAGTACTTTGTGTGGTGAGCCGCTACCAAGGCTGAGGCAGAAACCAGCAAGTGAGCATACACAGATACTGCATCGGTACGACCACAACTAATACTGGTTAATCACCACTTCACCACTAGTACATCATATTTAAACACTATTTTAAACTCTGAAGGTGGAAGTATGCTAAAAGTCCTGCAAAACATGCATGCATACAGTATACAGTCAAGTATCAGAAAGCACAAAGCTTGTTCAGAAGACATTTTCCATCAGCTATAGTACACAAAACTCATTGCACCTGCAGAAACCCTTGCAAGACCCGAAAGGCACACATGAGCTCTTAGGAGCGTGAGCAGGGCAGCTATTTCCAATTCTTACCATAGCAGAGGGCAGACAAAGCTGAGAAGCAGGGAAGATGCCTGCTGCCCAGCCAACCCCAGCTCCCTGAACGCGACACCAGCCCCAAGGGCTCACCCTCCACATGCCAAGCCCAGACCTGCATACCTGGGGGGGACGAGGGCGGCACACAGCCCCAACTCCAGGAGCGGGGCCGGGGCGCAGAGAGGCCACGCATGGTTGCCCTGCTTGCCCAATCTGCCCACCCCTGGCCCCTTGGAAAGGTCCTGCTGCCTCCAGCAGGGTGCTGCAGCCCAGCCGAGATGGGGAGAGGCAAGAAGGCAAGGCAGGGCTGGGTCCAGCAAAGCCAGCAGCCAGGACCAGGAGCGGGGAGATGCTGCCCTCCTGGGGGGACTGTTGCCGTGGTCCAAGTCGGCAGCTCCAGAAGGAGGTCAGGGAAGAAAGGACAGGGAATGGCAGCGCAGGGCTTCTGGCTCGCATTCAGGCTTTGCTGCAACCTTTGTGATTTCCAGGGAGCAAGAGGCAGATAGTAAAAAGAAGGGCAAGGACTCACCTTGCCCCACTGTAATGTACACAAGAAGAAAGGAGGGGCTCAGAAGCATGCTGCACCTGACCTTTCTGCCAGCCCATTTCCACAGCGAGTTTGATGCTGGGGGCTGCCTCCGTGTCTTCCAGAGGCTACACGGTCAGAGACCATCTCTTTCAATCAACAGAGACTCACAGGAGCCCAGCCTGGTGCACACAGCTGAACATACATCCAGGCATTACTGCAGTGGTACCCCACCTACCTGCCAGGGATGCAGTCATGAGAAGTACCATGGTTAGCAATATAACACATAGCAAAGACGTTTTTCCCACAATGTAACAGAGGCAGAAAGCATGCACACACTATTTAAATACATGTGGCATGAAGGACAGAGGTAGGAAAAGGAAGATCAAGACGATGTTGGCTTTTTCCTGATAGCGTTTTGGAATAGAGCATCACTCAATGACCTCAGACATTTCATGTCTGAGACTGGAGACCCACAATAAAACTTTTAAAATTAGCATTCTTGCTGCCTTTTTCTGACCATTTGTATTTCCACCATTGTCACACCATCTTCCTCTGATCAAAGTCAAAGTAGCCTATGGCAAAGGATGGAAAAACAGGTAATGACAGCATTAGCAGAGCCCAGTTACTGAACCATCAGAAACACAATGCCAGTATGACAGACAAAGAAGTGGCAAATAATGGATGTTTCCTTAATCCATTATTTTCATACAACTGCCGATATGGACATAATCCTGCCTGCAGAAACTCCCCCAACTAACAATGAGTGAGTTCACACTATTTTGTGCTACTCAGGAGATACCACTTCAATTAGTCCAGTATAACTAGAACTATGTATCACACCCATGCAGGCACACTACCTAAGCTGCCTGTGACCTATCACTGGAAAGAGTCAAGGTTTATAGGTAGACTTCATCTTCTAGTAAATCATTTGGTCTAGCTGAAAAAAGTAGACAAGTTTTCAGATATATTAACTCTCACTTAGCTCTGAAACAGCACCAAAATAGGAAACAGTTAAGAACAATTATTTCATACTAACTAGATGTGCATCAGTGAGACCTTGGGGTGGGGGAGAAATAAAAATAAAGTAGCCCAGAGAAATGGAGAGAGAGAGAGAGGCAGAGATTTTGCACCTATTGAACGTGAGATTTGTGTGTGGATGGGAGGAATAATGATGCAATAAAAGCAGTTTCTTTGCAGAGCTTATGATGTTTGGTATTAGCTAAACCTTTTCATTCCAAAGCTTTGTCTTTGGAAGGTGGGATGGTGCCTGAGAGCTGACTGTGACAGCAACCACTATGCCACCATGGCACAAGACCACAAAATACTCTAGCAATACAGATAACTTTCTCCTCTACAGCTTCCTACCTGGGAGGGGATGTTCCTCTGTCCCGCCTTGTAAAATACACTGTATTTTTCAGGTCCTCCTAATTGCATTGGCTGCATAAGTTTGCAGATTAAAAAATACTCCAGTGAAAAGTTACAACCTGAAATACTGTGTTGCAAGGAGACATATAATACGCTCTAGTTCTTGGCTGACAGGACTGTGGGTCTGTTTGTTTAGTAGGGTCTCCAACACAACTGTAGTACAATATAGAAGAGTGAGCTAGATACTCACACATAGTTGAAAACCCAAAACTGTACAGACAAGGAAAAGAGAAAAAGTTCAAGAGACAAGCTGATTTTAGACTAATCATAATACAGTCCTCCTTTTGCCAATAAAGGTTAATAAATCCTACATAAGCCCAACAACTAGACAGCTTGCTTTCCTTTCACATCTACATGCAAGAATATATGCTGTATAGCCTGTTTAGCTACAGGCCAAAAGAAGCAGTCACAGCCTGTGAATGTACCTGTCTTCTGAAACCAAAATCTGATACTTCTTGTTTGGATACTTCATTTAATTTTTTCTTCTTCCCCCTCCCCCCTTTCTTTTCTTCAAACACACACACACTCCCCAATCCCACCAACAAGGGGTTCTGGACGCTGTCCTTACACTGAGCCCAACTACTTGGCAGGCTTTGGCAATTACAAACCACATCATATCACTTTGAATAGTGGAAAGTCTTAACTAGTCTATATTTTTAATTGTGCATATAAAGCTTTAAAATTGTAAATTAAAAAACTCAGACCTTCAGAGGAAAAAATTCCAATGAATCCATTAAATATGACAGGTACTGCTAACCCCACTTACTGTACACGTAGCGAGGCCAAGGTCACAAATTATGCTCTGCATGAATGGTTACAGTGGAGGGGGTGGAAAGCCTGGCAAAGCAAGCAAAACACCACAATATACTATTTCTCCAGTTCCCTTATCCTGTCTCATTTCTCCTTCAGGAAGCAAATGTTTTCTGATGTGATCTGAAGGCAGCTAGCTGTAGTAGTAGTCCTAAAGGCACCCACACCCACAGCACACACAGGCGTGACGGAGTTATCAGTAACCACATTTCTTTCAGACAGAACTAGATGGAAGAGCTGCACCTCTCCACAGGCTTTAAAATAAAAGCCACTGGCTACTTTTTGAACTTGGACATGTGCTTAATGGTGAAGTGACTCATGGTTCTGCCTCCCAAGGTTTCCTGCACTGCGTGTACACTGAAAATGGGATTGTACAACCATGAGAGCTGACGAGGTATTAATGCAAATTTGATCACACTGCATTTTTAGGAAAAGGGTGGAGTGGGTGGACTGAACCCCTCTATGATTTCAGGAAACATATAAAGTAAGAATTATGTAAAAATAATAAAATTAATGAGCAGCGAGAAGAATGCCAAGTGAGAACAGGCAAGAAAATACAGGCCTATTGAAAATGGATAGGTCTAGAACGGAAATTTTTCTGCCCTTATTGATATATTTATGCCTAACTTAGTTTCCTAGCAGACTGTTCATATTTCATTTTGCAATGCTATGGGAAACCTTACAAAAAAAGAGTTACCTAGGAATAATTTGGAAAGCAACTATTGAAGGAGTATGACAAAGAGGTCAATCGGTTTATCATCCAAAAGACCTTGACACATGATAGGAAAATTACACCTCTGCAACTATGTAAATAGCTGCATAAGTAGACTGAATAGGTCAAGAAGCATCGATAGAATCCTGGGCTGCTCACACTGACATATAACGTGCCGCTGCAAGACAATATCATCAATACCAATGTTATGGACTAACCTGCTGCCGGCCAAAATCAGTGTGAGGTTTCGCAGTGCTGGCAGTGACAGCTGAACCTGCCCAACAGTTCCTGAGCCATCAGTTATGCTG